ACTGTGCGGCCGTCTCCAAAGCACAGCCGGAGCAGCAGGCCCTCCAGGGAGTGAGCCCTGCATCTCGGGGCTCACGGAGCAGGCCAGGCCCCGCGCTCACACTCCCGGCGCTCTTGGTAGCTGAATCGCCATCACTAAACAGCACGTCGCAAGTGAAAATCAATTGCTTGGATGCAGAAGAGGGAGATCGGTGCAGTGGCGAGAGCATTTTGAGCCAAAGTTGAGCCCTTGCTCTGCCACTGGTTTCCTGTGTGACCATGGGCAGCTCACTTAACCTCCCTTCCCCTCCGCTCCTGGTCTGTACCACTGGGATTGTAGCAGCGCCTGCATCATGGGGATAACTGCCTTGAAGACAGTGGGACACTGGAATGCCACAGTGACAGCGACAGTGTTTGCCAGCAAGCCAGCCGCGTGCAAGCCAGCCTGGGCCATAACTGCACTCCTGCCCTGCTGTGGAAGTACCCGCTGAGCCTCCAAAAGCCTCACCAGGGCAGCTGGAGCCACGTGACGTGTCACCCCAAGGGGATCGGGACGAAGCCAAGGGAAATGGGGGGCGGATCCTGAGGAATCGCTTCCTGGTGACAAGGCCTGGCGGGATGTGGAATTGTGTCCTGTTCCCTGAGTCACAGCCAGTGCTAGGAAACATGCTGCCAGGGGAAGAAGAGCATGGATCTGGGCCAGGGAATGGAGAGGCTGCAGGCTCTCTTCTAGGTGTTCCCCTGTGGTGATTTCCACTCCTCTTCCTCCTTTTTTTATTATTTTTTTTTTTTCCCCTTCTGTGTTTTGGAAAATCTGATGTCACCAGACCTTTTATTTGTCACGTGTCTTTGGCTGCCCAGCACTGTCCTACTTCTATGGTTTTCTGGGGCCGTCCTTTTTTGCACAGCACCTGTCACACCAGGGTCCTGGTTTAGACCAAGGACCCTGGGCACTACCACAGTTGAAATAATAAGCATCAGAAGTTTCCATGCGCTCAGTGGCTGCCACGCTCTCCTCACAGCTGTATGGAGAAGCAGCCAGGATTATTTGTGCTCAGCTCGAAGCCGAAACTTGCTGGGTTTCGAGTCCAGCCCATTGAATTCCACCAAGTCCACGCGCAGCAGGTTGGGGATACGTGGCATTTATCACTGCAGCCGATCCCCTTGCAGGATGCTCTGGGTGTGCTCTGAGGCCTGCGTTATGCCTTTGCTGTGCAGTGGATCCACGGCACCTTCAGGAGATCTGCTAGGGTGACCAGATTGGACGAGACGTTGAGCCAGGAGCCCTTTTGAAGCCGGGAAAATGAACACCACTTGGTAGAATCAGCGGTGTTTTCCCTTTTGCAAGGAAGAGGTTGACTGGTGCTGCCTGAGAGGGGGGACGGGGCAGCGTAGTCATAGCTGCTGCTGCCCTCCCAGGTCGCCTCCTCGTCTGATCCTCTCCCAGTCAAGTTCACTGCATGGGCAGAGCAGTTCAGACAGCCCAGGGGCCAGGCATGGGGCGGCACCTGTGGGCTTTGCTTTGGCTGGAGACGTGCCAGTAGGGTGCTGCCGGATCAGTGGTTTTCAACCGGTGGTCCGTGGACTCCTGACTATGTCTAAGGGGTCTGCGAAAGATGACTATGATCGATCACAAGTATGTGAATACCCACACGTCCGACTCAACCGGATCTGCGCTGCTATTTGGAATTTTTTAGGGGTCCACAGATGAAAAAAGGTTGAAACCACTGCGCTAAATCAGTGCCATTACTGAGGCTGCGCCAGGTTTAGTGATGCCTCACCCTGATCCATGGGTTGCAGCTGCTGCTGAGAAACTTAGGTGGTTTGCTGAGGCAGCTGCCACCGTTGCAAGATCAGGAGATAGTTTGCTGTTGTCTTGTCGCCATCCTCACACATGCTTCAGTTTGGGCAGGAGGGGGTGGCTGTCCTCCATGGCAGGCCCTCGCCTCTGGAGCCGAGAACTCGGTCCGTTCCCCTCCCTGGAGCTGGAGCCCGTTTCCCTCCCGCGCACGCAACTTTGGCGCAGCCTGCGGCCAGCTTCCCGGTGCCCACAGCCAGCCGCCCGCCCGCTTGCGTGGAGATGAAGCAGATGGGCTTGTGCGACCTGGGTGGAGCAGGCTTTCTGCTGGCCTGGGTCCTTCCCCAGCTGGGCTTCAGTGAGCTCCCACCTGCAGACCCTGGAGCAGCTTGAGGTCATCCTGCTCCCGGCTCTGGGGAGTATGCTGGGTGTGGGGGAGCAGGACGGGGTTATGGGACAGGTTATGTCCCTGCCCCAGGGCTGTGGATGCCTTCATCGGCTGCATTTCTGAGCTGAGTGGAGAGCTCTCGGTCTCCGTTTTGTTCTTTCTTTGCACAGCCTAGCACTGGCAGGTCCAGGCCTAGGACTGGGGCACCGTGATGCAAATGCTAAGGGCTTGGACCCCTCCAAGGGGCTGCTGCAGCTCAACCCACCTCTGAGTCCTGCTAGGACCCTCTGAACCGGCAGTGAATAAGAAGCCACGTTCTCCCTTTGTGCTCAGCGGAGGGAGCTCGTTTGGGGAGTTAGGCTGGGTTGGCTCATGGAGAGGGGCCCTGTGTCTCTAGTGGCAGCTGGCATGGCCTGGGTCACAGGGACATAACATAGCCCTACCAGCTCCTTCCCTCATCAGCAGAGTGCTGCCAGGGTCCGTCTCCACATTTCCGCCCTCCACTGCCTGTCCTCGGGGCCGTCTGGGGAGGGAGCCAGCATCCTGGTGCCATGGGCACACATGGTCTGCAACACTGGCTGCTTTTGCTTGTGGGGCAGCATGGCCATAAGGGAGCCGATGAGGTGGGGATGAGCCGCTGGCAGCCACGAAGGCAAGAGGGGCGAGCAAAGGAGAGACTTGGTCTTGATTGACCCAAGCCATTCAACCGTGCTGTGCCCTGGAGGCATGAGGTGCTGTGGAGCTTGTGCCACTGCCGCAGACCTGCAGCGGAGGCCTCTGTGCCTTTTAATTGTATTTGGAAGTTGATTTTTAAGCCAAGCAATTTCCTTAAGTGTAATGTGGTGTGGGAGACGCCTCCTGCGAGGCCCTTTTGGCCATCAGGAGAGTCGCTCTTGCTGTGGCTCTGGGCTTGATCTCAGCATTATCCAGTGCTGGCTTGCCTGTGTGGCCAGTGGCAAACCTGAGCCTCAGTGACCTGAAGGGAGCTGCAGCCAGCACCCCGAGTCGAGTGGCTGCCAGTTGCCAGCCTCACGGCCCCTTCCTCCCACCTCTCTCCAAAATGACTGCAGCTGGGGTTTGGCATCCACGTTTAGACGTAGCATTTTGGTACCTGAACAGCTGCTTTGGACGTGCCCGTGTCCAATGGCCAGAAAAGGAATCGGGCGAGGAAAGCTGCCCTCACATTTTGGGGGGTGGAGGGGTGCTCTCCAAGGGCAGCGCGTCACTTCTCTCTCCGGGCTTTGACCTTAAGTCCTTTCATCCTGCCCCTGTGGCGAGTTCACGGCAGGGTTCAGGCTCTTTGATGATTTGGAGCCATTTCAGATGGCTGGTGGGAGGTCCCTGCATTTTGGCAGAGAAGTGCTGGTCCACTCCAGACACCTCTTGTGCTCCCAGGTGGGGGCTTGCACCAGACCTTCAAGTGGGTTGGAGAACTTGAGAGAAGCAAGACAGTGCAGAATCAGATCCCCAGCATCCGATTGCCACTTGATTTCTGGTTAATAAGGGTATTGTAAAATACCACGCTGCATCTTCCTAACCCAGAAGAGCGACGGATCACGTCCAGTGCGGCTCACGCATATGTACTTACCGTGATGTGTCGCTCTCAAGTACTTTGAGTTGCAGCCTGGAAGAGTAAGACCCGTTCTTGCCGGTTCTTCTGCATCCCGTATTTACAGCTTGGCAGGTCTAATTTTAGCACTCATCCCCAGAGGGGGGCAAACATCTGGTGCGTGCAGACTGTGCCTCGCAGAGCTTGTGGTGTCCAGCCCCCCTGCTCAGGAGAGGCAAGCACGCTGCGGCCGTAAGGCGCCCTCCTCACAGCTGCGCAGCTCTCGGGCCAGGCCTCCCAGCATCAGCCTTTCTCCTGGTTTAATTCAGTTTGAGATTTCTTCCTATCAGGAAGCAGTGGAAGCCCCCATTGTTCAGGAGGAGGCTGGGCAGTGCCGGTGGATTTACTATAGGAAATGGCCCTGCGCTGGCCGGGGAGCAGGGGGGGTGTTATTAAATCATTTCCGCCTCAAATGTCTAACAGCGCGCTCTGAAATCCATTCAATAAGAGCTAGAGGGAAGGGAGGTCATGGGGATCGGGCCTTCCACCGCCACCTCCTTTCTGCAGCTGGGAGGTGACATCCAGCACCGTTTCAAAACAAGCCCTCCCCTTCGGGAGCGCGCAGCGCCTGGCCCGAGCAGACCTGCTCGCATTTCAGTGGGGCTGAGCGCAAGGTCCTGCAAAGGAGGGGAGGTGCCGAGCAGCATGTTGGGGCCGAGAGGTGAGGTCGAACCCCGGCCTCGGTCCCCTGTGCTGTTTCACACTCCTTTGAGATGCGGAGGCAAGTCAGCTTTCCCCCCCACAACCAGTGCGGTGTTTGAAATGGAGGGCAGAGTTTGTGTCATCTGCAGCCCCATAGCTTCTCTCCTGGCCCTGGGTGCGTCTCTGCTGCCAGCGGGCAAAGTCTCCATCTCAAGGAACCACGACGGCTCTTCCTGGGCTTTCTCCTGCCCGAGAGGGAGATTATTTGTGCCTCTCGCTCTTTGTTGCTCCAAGCGAGGAACGAGTCGCCTTCCCATGATAGGCATCAAGAATCTTTCCAATGACTGTAACGGGAGTTGGACACAAGTGTCAACCAGCTCCGGTCTCCGCATGCAGCCCTCCGGCTGGCAGTAACCCTGCCTGCAGATGTCCATGCCAGGCTTCCAGCAGGAGTCCTCCCTCTCCCGCTTGGCCGCCAGCCCCCCCAGCATTGTGTCAGTGCGCGCTGGTTTGGATCAGCCCAGGTGCAGAGATTTATCCACCTTGACACTTTTCTGTTGTGCTTAATTGTCCCATGTTTTCCAGCAGCAGCAGCAGCAGCAGATGCCCCGCAGCAGCCAAGAAGAGAAGGATGAAAAAGAGAAGGAAAAGGAGAAGGAGGCTGAGAAGGAGGAAGACAAGCAGGAATCTGAAAACGACAAAGAAGAACTGACAAAGTAAGTACATTCCCTGCTTTCTTCCCTTCCTCCCCAGCATAAACTCGCGTCAGGCTGGGAAGTCATCGTCCTTATGTACCCTGCTTCGCTGTCCCAGGGTCCTGTGGCACGGGGAGCTGGGGTGAAGCTGTCATTGCTTTGAAGTGCCTCTAGCATATTCTGGGCTCCCAGCCCTGTGTGGGGTGACCCCTTGGCAGGTTCCCTCGGCTGTGCTGCATGCCCTTCTCTCGGCTCCTTGCACTGAGTGGGCTAGGCTTGTTGCTGGCGAAGGAGACAGAATCTGTTGTTTTATGCACTTTCCTCCTCCTCCCTTTCCCCTCCCAATCTGGAGAGCTCCCGAACCAAGCTGCTAATTTGTTTGCTACTGATTTAAACTCCATCCACCCTCAAAGCCACTCTGATGCCCGGCATCAGTTTGTTGTTGCAAGAGATGCTTCCTAGAGTCGAGCGGGCTCTGAGAACGCAAGCAGAGCACTGAGCTTCACCTTTAGCGCTATTGATGTCAATGTGAGATCTTCCAGATCAAGGGAGCCGGTCAGGTTGATAACTCTGCCTGCCTCCTGCCTGACACAATCACAGCTTAACAGGGAGCAGCGGATTCATTGCCGAGGCAGGTTGGCAGGCAGACTGCTAGCTGTCTGTAATGGGCTTAATACTTGGTTTAAAAGAACATCTGGCTTCATTATATGCAGCCTGCCTAGACATTTACCAGCAGGTCCCTTTCAGGAAGATAAATGAGGAGGCGGCGATGATAAATTTGAATGGCCCAGCATTAAACCTGTTTCTGTCAGGTCTCTGTGCGCGCTCGGTCCTGGAACTGCATCCATCTGCAAAAAGTAACAGCCACAAAAAAAACCCCAACCAACCCACCCCAAGCTGAGAAAGTGCCCTCCTTGCAAAAAAAAAAACAAAAACAAAAGGAAAAAGCCCCTGCAAGAAGGAGAGTCCAATAGTAATTTCTCCCATCGCGTAGGGAGAAGAATGACGACACATCTGGGGAGGATAACGACGAAAAAGAAGCCGTTGCTTCCAAAGGACGCAAAACTGCCAACAGCCAGGGCCGGCGCAAAGGCCGCATCACCCGCTCCATGGCTAACGAGGCGAACAACGAGGAGGCAGCTACCCCACAGCAGAGCGCAGAGTTGGGTACGTAAGTGGCTGCATCTGCAGGGCATGCATGGGGCTTTGGGCTGAGGGAATGGGATCTGGGTTGACCCAGCAGGGACTGGGTGCAGGGAACAGCTTCGTTTTTGGGAGGGAAGCAGGAGCAGAGGTTTCTGGGAGTTTACTTTTGGTCTGTCACTGATCAGTTGGCCAACCTTGGACACGTTCCTTCCCCTTGCTGTGCCTCTGTTCCTCCATCTGGCAGACGAGGACAGAAACGTGGTCCCCTGCGCTGCTCCTTGCCTTGGGCATCAGGAGCGAGGATTTTCTCCAACAACTCGGTGTTGCCCAGCCAGATCGCTGGTGTTTCACAGCTTCAGGCCTGTAGCTCGGAGTGAGGTTTAGTCTGTTTGGGGCCTTGGATAGAAAGCCCTGAAGAAGGGAAACGTGCCGTTTTTAGCAAAGCGCTCTCCGGGCAGGATTGTCTCTCGAGCGAGTGGCTGTTGAGTGAGAGAGCATCCTTTTTTGGAGACTGGCAGCCGTATTCCCTTTGTGTGCCAGGGGAGGATCAAGCCAGGCCTGTCCTTTGGACTGCTGTCTGTCAGGACTCCCTGCTCAGCCAGCTCTCCTCAGGAGGCAAATGCCCTGATCCTCTGCTAGGCCACCCCTGCTGTGACAGGCTGATGCGTGCTGGCAGCCTGGCTGGGAATCACCCTCTCCTCCCGCCCCGTCCTGGTCCCCACTCGCTCCAAGTCCTAATGCACCTGCTCCCAGCCACCATAGCCACGTGAGGCGGCCCTGACACGGTCTGTCCTTACAGTCTCCAAAATCCGCTCTTTCCCTTCCTCGTCTTGCAGGCACTCAGACCAATGACTCAGTGAGGGAAGGGCTGGGACAGCTGGCCTGGATGTTTCCCTTGGACTGCCTTCATATAGCTCCATGGTTGTTTTTTTTTCCTTCACATCCACCCCAAATGTTAGTTTCTCCCTATCCCATATGTCCTACGCTGTCTGTGCTTTGAGCAGCTTTTCTGATTGCCTGCCTCATTTCAAACGCCGTCCCTGCAGCGCTGACTGAGGTGCGCTCTGATTTCAAATGAGCCATTTCCAAAGCTGGACCCAGCGGCCTGGGCCTCAGACTGCCTGGAAGTGCCTCCCTGGTTGCATGTGAGGATGGAGGGATGCTCCCACTGAGCTCATTGGAACAAGGGACCTGATTCAAACCCATCTCGCTCTAAAACAGCACCACAGCTAGGGGTGAGGGGGCTGCAGACTCCCATTAGGGTTAGAAAGGCAGGAGACAAGGGTCCTATGTGCAGCTTAGGTCCTTGGAAATGTAATCATATTCCCTGCCAGCCACACAAGGGCTTGCAAGTGTTAAGAAGCAGCATACAGAGAAGTACAGTAATGTATGCATATCCAGCCCGTGATAGATCATGCACGTCTCTCACCTACATGACAGATAGGCAGTTACTGTCCATGGGGAATTATCCATTATTGCCTTTAGATAATCAGCTACTTATTGCCTTATTGAATTATTGTCTTGGGTACTCAGCAAAGCCTATGGCAGTATTTGCCTGTTTTTCCTGTATAGTCCCTGTAGCAAACACAAGGATAACATGATTGAGCTGAGGTGTGATGCTGGAAAATATTTTATGGGCTCCTGCTAGGCTCGTAACACCTTTACTGTGAAAGGACATTGTGAAAAAAGGAGCGGCTATACAGCCCTGAACTGGCGTAACTCACTCGAAAGCAGAGTAAAATTACCCCAGGGTGAGACGAAGGTAAAAGTATGCCCGTGTAGGTATTGCGCGTCTTCAGCTTACCCTGGGCTAGCTGTTGGCTCCAGGCAAATAGACAGTTGCCTGCTCCCTGGCCATCTAGCGGCGAAGCCCTGCCTGCACGTCGTTGCTCTGGGAGAGCGGATAGCGTCTGCTGCAGAACCGGGCGTAATCTGCACCGGCGTACAAAACCCATGCAAGTACACCAGGTTGTGTGTCTAGACCTTCTGCTTCTCTGTTGTGAGATTTCCTTACTAAACACTCTGTCTCAATCATGATAAATGATAAGTAGAAACGTATCTGTTCCCCGCCCCCGCCCTCCCACGCTGAACGTGGTCTAAACCCTCAACCGTGAGCTCTGCACGTTGGCATTATTTGCGTGTGGTATCGAGCACGGGTCCCTGCTCAGGTTTGTTAGGTGGTGTGGAAAAAGGAATAACAAGTGCAATACCAATAAATCAGCCAGCCATCATCACAAACAGGGAGAGGACTGTAGGTAGTGACAAATGCAGAAGGATTGATTTTATGGGCACGCTGAAGCAGCCATTAATGCGCTGTCTCCCCGATAGCACTTTAATTGAGGTTGGCTAAGAGAAGTTATTGCATGTTAAACACCAATCGAAGATTCAAAAACAACCAGAAAAAAGCCCAAGTTGTGGTTTAACTGCAGCGTGCTGGAGCTCCCAGTAGACATCTGTTACATAACTGCTCAACCTCAATAAATATCATTAATCAAACCAAATAGACCACTTACTTGACATTTATTTAACATACAATAACAGTCTTATTAAAAACAAATTAAATGCCAAGTCAAACGTGTTTGGGATGCTCAGGTTAAAGAAAATAAACCTCAATGCCTTTAATTTGCCTAGGGAGGAGGGAAGGGGGGAAACTTCCTAGGTATTGATTTCCATCAAAAAGCCTCTATCAGCTGAGCTATCGCATATTGGCTGGATTTCTATGGGGACTATTTCTAATGGAGGAAATGACCTGTAATGACTTACAAGAGGTGGCACCTGCAGTCCCATTCAGTCAGCTGTGAAGGACATCCCTTTATCTTCCTCGCAGGCCCAGATACCTCGCAGGTCATGGGCATCGGAGCGACGATACTTTTCCTCCTCTAGAGCCTCAGCTCCTTTTACAGCTTCTTGAAGACGCTGCCTCTCCCATCGCCAGGCTTTAACCTAACCTATCGGCCTGTTTTTTCCATTTTAAAAAGGACACTGTCAAAACATCTCTCATCACGGTTGAAATAATGCTCTGCCAGTTGTTTGGAGTAATAGTCCGCTGGCAGCCTGGACCGGAAATCTGCTTCCTTACCGAGTTGTTTTTTGCCTCTGACTCACCCACGGGTTTGTTATTGTAGGGTTTGCTCACGAGTGCCAGACTCGCCTGCAGGATTGATTTCACAATGAATGCGTTATGCAGGATGGCCGTGTTCATGGCACCGAGCGCGTGGGTAGAGAGCACCAGGGATTGCCGGGCCAAGCTGGCACCCGTCTCTGTCGGTTCTCGTGGGAAGGGTGTGGGGCCCAACCATTTCTCCTGTTGCTTTGGTGCTTTGCTTGGGACTGCTGTCCAGCCCCCTTGCGCAGGCACAGAGGCACACTCAGAGAGGTACCCCTTGGTCTGAAGGGCATCTAGCAGACAGGAGCTGCCGAGGTGGGGTGCATTCGTGGTGGGCTGCCTGGAGTTTATGCCTTGTTGCTGCCGCCTCGGGTTGTACGGCTCAGTCCTTGCGTTCCAAGCATTTAACACCCTCCCGCCTTGACCTCTTGGTTCTCTGTTGATTTTTCAGCTTCTCTGGAGATGAATGAAAGCTCTCGCTGGACGGAAGAAGAAATGGAAACTGCTAAAAAAGGTAAGACCATCTTTTCTTCCCTTCTTAGTCCTGCTGTGTCTAGAAAGGCAGCCGGTGCAGTCTGAGGAGGGGTGCGTTCACACAGCTTTGGTGCATGAGAATCCTAAACCTGCTGTCGTTTGCATTGCTTTTACACCTGTGCAGCTCTGGGAATCATTCCTGGTTTAGAAGGGGAAGGGAAAACAGGCTGTCTAGGCTCTTCAGTGGTCATTGTATTCCCCCCCCCATAAAATACAGTGACTGCTACCACAAATACAGAGTTGGCAGCAATTTCAGGGCTGGCGTTTGATCTTGCACAAACAGCCTGGCTTGATTGCTCCACTGATGCCAGGGAGGAAGCTTTGGTTCGTGCTCTGTCTGTTGGGCACATCGGGAAATGGTCCTGTGTCTGCCCAGGCCCGGGTGTTGGTGGAAGAGCATGCAGTGGTGTGACTTCCTCTGGCCTGGGCTACGTAGCTTGAGGGTTAGCTCTTGTCACGTTCTTTGTGCTTGCGGGATGTAGACCTTGGTGGTTTGACATGCAGAAAGTAACTCTGTGCCTTAAGACAAGACCAGATGAGCGGGTAAACTCTACAGTCCCCAGATGCACCATGGCGTGCACCCACCAATTGCATTAAGGATTTGCATGCCATCTTTGTTGCCTCCTTACCACGGCACCCTGTGGTTTCCCAAATGGGTGCTGTGGTGCCCAGATCCACTCGGTCAATCATAGAGAAGCCACAGGGCAAGGAATCCACGAGGTGTACAGGGATTCTTCTTTGAAGCCTCAAGCAAAGGGCATCGCTTGAAAGCCTGGAAGGCCACTGGCCGAAGTGGGCTTGCTCCACATAAGAACGCAAGAAGGGCCCTACTGCATCGGACCAATGGTCCACATAGCTCGGTATACTGTGTCTGACCGTGGCTGAAGTGAATGCTATATAGGGAGAGCATCAAAGCAGATATCTCTGGAGTAATCTGTCCTCTATTCAATATACACCCTGGTTATTGGTTTCAAGATGCCAGAGGAAACCTTTCCAACATCCCGTCGCTATGGCAGGGTCCGACACGGAGACTGTTTTCTGAAAATGCTGAGTGTAGCAGGTTTCCCTGGCCACTTCCCCCTCCGTTGGCTGGGCTCCAGTGCCAGCTCTTTCACTGTTTAATTTTTTCCAAAGTCACGTCCTGTTGATCTGCTGTGGAGTCCGCAGCCAGAGACCGCTGCATCCTGCTCCGATTGCTCCAGCACCTCTGGCCTCGCGAGCATTGCAGACATGAAATTAAAATGGAAATGAAGTTTTGGCTGGGGCCGGGAGATGCAGGCAAGGCTGTCGGTAGGTCTCTGATCCATTTGGGGTAAGCACCTGCAGGAGGGCTGCTGACAACACAGTCTGCAGATCTGGTTTCCCACGTGCTGGCACAGCCTCAGGCTCAGGTTACTTGTTAATGTGACTGCACCCAAAGGTTTGCCTCATTCTCACTGAAGTTGTTCTGACCCCCTCTTCAAGCCCAGTGCCAGTCTCATGTACTGCTGAGTGTTACTCCCTGTAGACACAAGATTTAATAGATAGACTTTAATCAAGCTAGCTGGCCTGCTGCCAGGGGCTGGGATTAGCTGGAGCTCAACAGTGCAATTCTTTTGTAAGGGCTGTTAGGAGCCATCCGCCACTTTTGATTCACCACCTGGCCACAGAAAGTGCTTCCTTGGCATTTGTGCCTCAGGGTGGAGCTCCTAGCATGGAAAAGCCCTGGAACCACCCAGTGAGCCAGTGAGGAGGTTGAATTGGGGGAATTAAATAGCTCAGCATCCTGTGGGGGTGAGGATGGAGCATGGAGTGCAGCCTGTCTGGGCCGCGCACCCCTTCACCTGCATAGGGTCCTGGGGATGACCTTTTCCCCCCTTGGTGCTAACCTGTGAGGTCTGAGGTCCCCACCCCAGGTATATGCAGAGAAGGCAGAGTCCCATTTTGCCAAGACCCGGCCTGTTCCACGAGGCTGTTTGGCCTGGTTTCCACTGGCACTTCCAACAGCTGGTCCATGATGCTTTCGTCTTCGGCCTGCAGCCGGTTGGCACTCAGCAAATGCCACTTGCCAAGTGCTGGGTGTATAGGTCAGATATGGACTTACGCTGTAAGTCTCTTCCGGCTGCCATCCATGCAGCCACACTGATCAGGACTTGAATATTGTGGCTGCCCAGGGATGCCCCAAGGAGGATGCTGTGCATGGAAAGAGAGAATACAGGGGCGTATGGCACTATTAAACTTAACTAGGGGTGCACCAACCCAGCAAGAGGAAAAGTTTGACTTCGTGACTTCTATCGTGCAATAAACTTTGGTTCAAGCATCTGTGAAAACATGCTGAGATCGGCGCGATTACGGGATACTGTGTTTTTTGATACTGTCTGCTTTTGTTCTGACTGGGTTTAAAGATAGAAAGCAGAAAGGTTTGCTTTCTGTGGTTTCTCCAGGATGTACCTGATTTCCTTTTCCACTTGACGATGCCCAGACTGGCTCCGACCCCAGCCGGGTTGTCATGGCAGATGCGTTATCCCGCCCAAGTCCCGCGTACCCGTTCTGGGAAGGGCACTGCTTGGCGAAGGGTGCAGCTGCAGACAGCAGTGTGGGCACAGGAGCCAGTAGGCATCACCTGCCCAGGAATGAATTTTGGCTGGAATTTGAGGAAGGTGGTTTCTCACCTTCAGGGGAGGGGGGTCCTGGTGTTGCCTGCTGGTAGGAGCAGCGGGGGCTAGATGGAGCCTGTGATTGCAAGGGATTGAACACATTTGTTGGCTTTGATGGCAAGGGCTTGAACTCAAGAGAATCCCTTCCAGCCCTTTGTCCCTCAGCAGGGACTCATTGCTGCGCAAGATGCAGAGCTGGGTTTCCCCTGCAGCTTTAGCAAGTGGTTTTGCTTTGACAAGGACCTACATAAAAAACAGGATCTTCTTACTCAACCCTGTCCTTCAGCGCACTTTCTTGAGACTCAGCTCTGCTGACTCGAGTGACTAAAACGTGCTTTGCCTGCTTCTCTCTCCCGTGTGCTCAGCCAGGCTGGGAGTGAGGGGGCTTGGATCTGGCCTATGCAAATGCAGGGACAGTAATGGATTGGCACAGGTGTGCGGAGGCTGTGCAGGTGTCCCCGACGGCATTGTGTGGGCTGCAGAGACCTTCACCCAGGGGATTATGCGCAGGCAGGAAAAACCCCACATGGTTCTTTGGTTACCAGGGCTGAGAAGCCAGAACAGGGTCAAGTTCATCAACAAATAGTAAATCCCCTAAAACATGCTGTTAAAGGGGGATTCGAAACCATCCATGAGTCCAGGCCCAATTCAGCAAAGAGTTTCAGCTAAGCCATGGCTGGGGGCAGGGAGGGAAGGGGAATTTTCAGAAAAACAGAAACTTTTTGGTTTGACATGTATTGTTAAATGAAACCTTTCAGTCTTCCATTTCCAAATGGACTGTTTTTGGGGCTTTTTTTTTTTTTTTTTTTTTTTTTTTTTGTTTTTGGGGGG